TCTGGCTTCACTGGTCTGGTTAAATCGAACTTGTGGTTGGATGAACTGGGCAAGTGCAGCAGGACAAAAAGGGAATGTGATTCATCTCAGAAAGCTGCCTTGCTTCTCTACAGGTCTATTCTCTCGTTTGGTAGTTTTAAAAAATAAAAGAACTCTTCATTATTTTTGAACAGTGCAATTTTACGTTTTTTTTCTCTCTTTTTTTTTTTCCAACCGTTTGGCAAGTGAGAAGACCACCTGAGACAGTGCTTTTTGGGCAGTTTATGCAAGCCTGGTTTACCCTGAGATTAGGAGTAGAGGGGCTGCAGGCGATTAAGGCGAGGCGGGTCCCTCGACCTTCTGTTATGCACACACACAAACAACTTTTCTCCTCTAGTGGCATTTTAGTGGCAAACGCAGGTCTGCAACCCTCCTAGTCCAAAACCAGAGCAACCACAACACAAAAAAGGCTAAAAAAAAACTATTCTATGATTTGAGCTAAATACAAGAACAGAATAACAGAGCTAAACTAAAAAAAACAGAGAAGCCACACTTGGATCCAAGCTGAAGAGGCAACATCTTATAAAGAGCTTCCAGATGAAAATCATGTGCTGCAGCTGTTGTAAAAGTCCAGTCTAGTTGTTTTAAGTCACTGAGGAAATGTCGTAAGGAGAGAAAGAAAAATTCTTAAACAGCTTAAAACAAATTCAGTGCATTGTTCTTGACCCTTTCAGTCTTTTTCTTTAAGTTTCTTCTTCCAAAAAATAAAATCCTGTTCTCAGCGTTGCTCAAAGTTAAGCAGAAGAAAGTCTTAAAATGTTAAGCCTGCACTCTCGTATTTTTAGTCTGGCGCATAACAAGGCTGAAACCAAACTATTAGTGATTTTTTTTTCAATTCTCATCATTAAACGAAGCCACACAACTCAAGTAAGGAAAAAAATGTGCAAAACAAAATCCCAAAATGAGGCAAGGGGACCTTAGTCTTTGCTCTGGTGATGACTGCTGCCGCTGAAAACTTTCATTCATACGGACTGATGGTGGTTAGAACGTTGTTGTTGTTGTCTCTCTTCATCCCATTTTCTGTGATTCAGCTGAAGTCTGGACATGATCAGTCCTGCCCTTTGTGTTGAGGAGCCATGTCCATATGTGCCATGAGTGCAGAAGAATCAAGGGTGAAAGAGAAGCTTGGCGGGCTGAGCCTTAGTTGGGGATTCTTCCTTCCCATCATCAACGCTATCGCCGGGGCTCTCGTTGCTAGTGGGGTCATTATTTTTTCATCTGTACACATCCCACCATCAGCAGCAGGGCACAGGAAGGAAGTGACACCCCAAACTTGTAACTCCTGTTTCTCTCACTAGGAAAGGCAGAAACAGATGTGTCCAACCCAACTCAACTGTAGATATTTGTCCAAGATTTCATCAGTTGGTTGGTTGGATACTTTGTTTTTCCCCTGATGTCAACAGCGTAGCATGAACATCGTCGTCGGAGAGAAACAAACAAAGCCGAGCCTACAAAACAGGTTTCTGTTAGTTCCTGAAATCGGTCAGGAGTATTTCAGGAACACCTTTCAGCGTGATGGACAAGCATCAAGCCTGCGCTCCTCCGTGCGGCTGACGTGATCTGGGTTTGGATCAATCTGGAGGATAGAAGGGAAAAGAATATGATGCTTTATGGAAACAAATAACTGATCTAATTCAGTCAGTTATAGAAAGATTAATACATAAGGTTTTGTTTTATGGTATTTGGTGTTTACCTCAGAGTACAGAGGAGGAGGCTGGAAGCGGAACTCGTGGATATAGGCGAAGAGAGGTCCATCCAACTCCTCACGGGCTGCAGGGACGTCTAGACTGCTCTGCCTCTGCTCTTCTGTCACAATTTCTGCATAGCTAGGAGGAGCTGCAGTGGGGAAGAGCAACGCCATGAGTCAGTGGAAATTATATTTAAAAGATAGAAATTTATATTTGATTCAGGATCATGAGATGTAACCTACCTTCTGGTCGCTCGGGCAGGCCCATGCCCAGCCAGCTCATGCTGCACTGGCTGCTCACGCTCGAAGTGCGGGAACCAAAGGAGTGGAGAGGGATAGTACCGATGACCAGGGGCAGGTTCAGGGATAGGTTGATTGCTCCGGGTATGTCCACATATACCTGAGCAGGAAAATAATGACACCAGGTTGGAATTTGCTCTGGGGTTGAGGATTCACCATGAAATTAACCCTATACCACACTAGCCTGGGCTTTATGGGTTGTGCGAAGTTCAACAAGATGTGGGTCAATATCTTGAGGTCAGTTGCTTATGCAAGGTAGAGCCCTTGCCTGGTGCCTGTCTGTCCTCAAGGTAAGGAGGTTATAAGCACCTTCAAGGCAGGTGTTACCACAGATATTCTGGGCTAATGCTCTTAGTAGCATGTGGCGATAACACCTGGCCATGGCCCAGGTTGGCTGGTGCTAGCTGAGTCAGCCTGGTTGTTTAGCAGAAGAGATACTGGCTTACCAGGAAGTATTGATTAAGTAAGATAATGGCACTGAGTAATGGAGTAAAGGAAACCAATTCAAGTCTCTAGGCCAGTGATATCTGGATCAAGGTGAGGTGACAACAAACAAAACGAAAGGGCAATTGATCCCAAACGCAACAGAGCTGTGCTCACCATGAGCGAGTACTCCACTCTGATGATGCTGCAGTCCAGGATGGAGGGTGACACAGGCGGGATCTTCAGCATCTTGCCACTCCAGGTCTCTGTTTTGCCCGAGGACAAAGACTCTCCCCGCAAGTTGGCCACCAGCTGCTTGACCTCCTTCATCTTCCCTTTGGCATAGAAGGTCTGGGTCTGGTAGATGGCTGCCTTTGGCACCACCATGCGGGACGAACAGTTCTCGATCTCGGCAAAGATCTGGATCGACTCTCCTACGGGAGGCACATAGGAGAGGTTAACGGAAGTTCCATGATGTTTTAAAATCAGCAGGTATCAGCCTTATCCTGTGTGTATTTACAAATCAATGAAATAAGTGTAATGCCATCATTCATTCACTCAATAGATGATTAACAATCAGTTGCATTATTGATCAGTGACTTATTCTCACCTGGGGTGTATCCCTTCCTTTCAATTTTGGCACTTAGGGAAATAGGACCTGAGGTGCAGAACCAGCAGCAAAGTGTCTTGTCTTTTGTGCCAGCCTGTGGTGACTGAAGGAGAAAAAAATATAATCATTATTACAAGTAGAATTTTGGACGGTTTTGCCAAAAAAATTATGTATTAAATTAACATGTTTATGATTATAGTGACTATTTCTTGCTCTTGAATGATTAATCAGTCAAAACTCTTCATCTCTCCAGCACTCACACTGCTGACATGTTCTTTCCCATGATTCCCCATAATTAGGAAAATCATCCAGATTAAGTTGTCATAAGTAAGTCATATTCCCACATTTAAAACCAAGCATATGTTTCAAATAGCTTACCAGCAACAGTGGAGTGTTGATGTCAATGTGCTCAAAGACTGTAAATTCCTTCTTGGTCTTCATGGGCAGGAGCCAAGGTCTGTGAAGTTCTGCCTTTACCCAGTAGCGCACGCTGCCGTGCTTCCCTTCGAAAGAGGTAGCCAGAGGTCTGCAGGAAAACAAAGGGAGGCAGAAAAAGCAGAGTTAAGTACCAAAATCTCAAACAGGGCACAGCGGTATTGATGTTAATTTTTAGAATAATGTGTAATATAAAGGGACCCTTACGTCTGTGGAAGCTCGAGGCTGAATGCATACTCATGTCTTCCTGAAGGGATAGTGGTGAGCCCTTCCTCCGAGTTGTCATCGTCTGAAAAACAAGGAGGACAATATTCCAAACACATGTATACCATACCTGTGTAAAATGCTCTACGAAGGCATCTGAAAGTCATACCAAAGAAAACAAAAAAACACAGGGTGGGGGAGAAGAAAAGAGAATAAACGGATTTTACTACAGTATATCTGTCTGTGGAAAAACCAAGGCAACCGATATTTAGAGCAAACCAAAGAGGCTGAATGTGTGGGAAAAGACGGTGCTTTTGTGCCAACAAAGACGGCCACTGTGGTATGTGATGAGGAATCTGTAAACCTAGATAGCTCCCCTGTCTTCCAAAGAGGACACTGTTGCATTGTGAAGCTGCTCCTAAAATGTTTCAAATTATATTTTTTATTTTTATTTCTAACATGATGATGAGGAGTGCAGTGTGAAGAGCAGGGGCCGGGTGTGTGCTCCTGCCAGCTCAGCACTCCTCCCTCCCCCTAGCAGCAGCAGCAGTGTGGTAAACAAGTGCGGAGCTGTCAGTCAAGCTGCAGACTCCAGCAGGAGGAGACCGGCCTGAACCGGTGCGAGCAGCTTCCCACAGCCGCTCTGCTCTCATTACGCATTCACTGTGCGCCGCCGCAGTCACTACTAGGAGCCGGCTGCTGGAGCTGCTGCTGCATCCACTCATCACTACACTGCATGCACACGTTTCAACATGAGGAACTACTACTTATGATATGATTAATGTTGTAATTGGTGAATGGCATATCAATTGTTGCTGAGGGAGAAATAATGAAACCCCTTTTTACCTGTTTAATCAGTGAGTTTAAAAAAATGTTTAAGCCCCTAAAAATCTGCACTTTTATGAAATAACAAGAAAGATTTGTGGTGACATTTCTTCCTTATTTATTACCATCATAACGGTATATAAAAAAAAGCCAAAAATATTTTCTTATTTTTGAGTGATTACAGGTAATATCTTTAAAGTGTAGTATTAAGCTTTTTTAAATAGTTTTTTACCCCAAAGTAGCCAAATGTTCTGCCTCTCTCCGCATGAAAGTGATGTCATTCGGCCACACATGAGCACCTAAGCCAATGACAAGCGGCCAGGGGCGGGGTCTGTGCGTTACTACCGCCCCCTCCCTGGTCCAGTTTTCTGAACAGGATTGAACCGCTTTGAACAATGGGTGGAAACTTCACAAAGCTACAAAGAAACGCTCAATATGACGCGGTTCTGCGGCGAATTTCTGCAACAAAGCCGCAGATATGTCAATGTAAGATATCAGTCTGCCGCTCGGTGTGTCGAAAATTAACAGAAATAGTCGTTTTCCACTTGAAAAACAGTGAAAAACAAGTGCAAGCACAGCTGCTGTCATTCATTCTGACACCTTGACACAAACAAGTGACGATGGAGTGTTATCCAGCAAGTGTCTTCAAGTACGAACATTTCAGTACTAGCACTACTTGCCTTTGATGTTCCTAGTCTTACACTGAATTATATATTTGAAGTTTTACAAATGCAGGGCAACAGCATCCTCCAGTGAACCTGATCTCCATCCAGCACAAAGAGCATCTCACAGTCACTTCCCACAAAACTGGTTGAATAAATAAAAAACACGATCTTACCTCTCTCGTGTCCAATCAAGATGTCTTTGTGATTCAGATATTCCACTTCTTCTGTGTAATTTTGCGTGTAGGCAGTGTTGGAGCCTGCGTTCCTCGACTCAGTCCAGCGAACTTTTGCAAATCCCTTCGCGTGGATCTTGAGGGATTTCACGCGGATCTCTCCGGTGACTTCGATGACCACCCTCCCTGAGACGCAGTCCCCGCTGGAGAACACGGGGACGTTGCTGTCATTGAGACAGTCGTAGCTTACTGTGAAGCTCTTCACCTTTCCTAGCACCATGGTGGAGACAGAGAGAGGGACAGACTGCGGAAGTTTCAAAATAAAAAAGAGGAGTCTATGAAAAACACCTCATAAGTAAAAAAGATGGATGCAGTGTCTCTTCTTATTTGAAAGACACTGATCAGTATCTCTGCCCCTGCAGGACGCAGCAGGCACGATCAGTGGCTTCTGTGCGGGCAGTTCATTGAGATGTGTGAAGGCTGAATAACAGCAATGGATGCTGTCATCGTCCGCCTCTCCTGCTCGACGGTCTCCAGTCAAAGACAAGGAAACCCCCGGAGCTCAGCTCACTTTAAGCGACGGGCTGTGTGAAAAACAACCTTGGGCGCATGCGCAGGCCTTCACTGCCCCCTCCTTCCGCCTTCTGGTCGAGGCAGAGTGGAAGAGTGGCTCACAGCCAGATGACAAGTTTGGTCAAACAGCTGCACAAAGAAATGTTCACCACTATGTGTTTTTTTATATATAGGTGACCCTCTACAGGTAATCTGTTTTATTTAAAATACATGAATGCATCCACCCAGCAGGTTTTGACTTACTCCAACTCCTTATTCAGCCATTCTGAGGAATGTTTGGTGATTGTACTGGAAACAAATGAGAAAACACAGCCCCACTCTTTCAAAGGTCTTGCCTTTCATATGAATGCACCACTGCATGATGTTTTTATACAATGAACATCTTTATGTCTAGACTCAATAATCTGTGATATAATCCACACACATGGTCTCCCATACATCCAGGCCCATTACAGCCTTCACATCCCCCTGCAGCTCAACAGAAAACTGCAGAGCTGCATGTTGCATTGTGGCTTCAGCACAGGCCTGTTGGATAATATGTGGGTTTATGGGTTAAGAGAGTAGTACAGACCTTCAGAAAAGCTCCCCACGTGCAAGAGCACATATAGTGTTTTTGGATTAAGATTAAAATGATCCATGCACATAGGGGGTGGGGGTTTCTCATTGCGTTCAACTCAGTTTTTCAGGAAAACAACTCAGCTGACTCTCAAAACGCCACCTGGTGGACACCAAGACCTCCTGCTGAGCAGATATCACCTGTTACACACCAGACTGCAATGTACAGTGCATTGACTGTGTAACACTGCTGTCAGGTCCCTGAATCTGTAGTTCTTTAGAGTTCCCGTCCTGAAACAGGTATTAGAAACTAAATTCAAGTGTTTTTTAAATGTTGATTTTTGAATTCAGACATTTCAATTAAAAATACATGATTTCATTAATTTTATTCATCCATTCATTGATTTGTTTCATTTGACGTGTTATTTCTTAGTGTAAGGGGTGGATGCAGGTCTGTGTATAACATTCCTTTCACCCAACCCCATCAGATGGCATATGATAAAAACACAATCACCAAAACAATGAATGACCGAAGTATGTTGAATCCCATTTTCATGATGCATCCCACCATATACAAATACATATGAGTTTTATTTTTACTTTTTATTTTAGTTTTGCATCCACTTGCTAACTTTGTATTTGATTTCCCAAAACAAATATATGGACATTCATCTTTGTGATACTAATACACTAATAGTACACATCTCTGATCATGACAGTGCCAACTCAACAAAACTGTGCAACCATTTTTTAACAGATCAATGCTCCCCCCTATAGGCGATTGTGTGTTATTGCACGTTAAACCAGAAATTGATGTATTCACCATCTCCTAAGCCTTTATTTCCCCTCTGTGATGAATATTTGGGATGGTTGATTGCAGTGGTGATGAGTGTTCAATATTTATCTTCACACATTTAGTCTCCTCTGAAAAAAAACATTTGATCATCGTTAAATGGACTGCTTCGTTTCTATGTAAGACTCTTATTTTGAAAGTGTGACCTGGATGTACATCAGACTGGACGGAACAGACAGCCTGCGACTTGTTTTGAAGTTTGCTCTGATGAATCTCATCCACTTCAACAGAAAATCACCTGGAGGAGGTGAAACGTCACTATGAACGTGTTAGTCCTGGCCCTGAGTTTCCTGTTTCTAATTTACGGTCAAAGCTTTTGCCAAAATGGAACCAAACCTAACATTGTGATGGTGATGAGTGATGCATTTGTAAGTATGATTTAAGTGACACCACAGAGTTTTATTACTGCACAACAGTAACTGCAGTGTGTTTCAGTTATAAGGCAGCAGCAGTAACAGAGAACAGGTCTATAACTTTAGGTTAAGCAGCACATATTCTTAATATTTTATACATTGACTGATTGATTATCTGTTTTGTATTGGCTTGTGGTTTTGATTGCCAGTTTTCTTTTTTCTGAAGGATGGGCGATTGACCTTTGACCCTGGCAGTAAAGTTGTACAGCTGCCCTATGTAAAGTACCTCAGGGAGCTTGGCGCTACCTTTGTCAATGCCTACACCAATTCTCCCATCTGCTGCCCCTCAAGAGCAGGTAAGTGGCAAGATTTAACCACAAAAAACACACAGAGGAGGAGTTCCCTTTAAAATGCAAGAAAACAGATATCGTGGTGATTGTTGTCAGCGATGTGGAGCGGTCGGTTTGTCCACCTCACGCAGTCGTGGAACAACTTCAAGGGCCTCGATGCAAATGCGTCCACGTGGATGGATGAGCTGGAGGCGAAGGGATATCTCACCAAGGCGATGGGCAAGCTGGACTATACCTCAGGGAGTCACTCTGTCAGGTAGGCAGACGCTTTCAGTTAATAACATCATTACGTTGATAAGCAGCACGCTTGAGTCTGGATCTGATCGAGGTTTATTCCTGTTTAAAGGTCCAGTGTGTAGGTGAAAGGGATTTATTGGCAGAAAGTATGAAATAATCTCAGTGATGTTTTCACTGGTGTGTTTCATCTACATTGTATGAAATGTTGTTTTCTTTACCCTAGAATGAGCCCTATATATTTGAATACTTTATATTCACATTGGGAGCTGGTCCTCTCTACAGAGGCCTCCATGTTTTTTATTGTCGTCCAGACTGGACAAACAAAACACCTTTTGAGTTTTTATGTCAACTGAAGGCTACCACAGGTTCTCTTTCATGTTTGGAATGGGAGGGGTATTCAGCTGCAACATGCAACTTCACCACTAGATATCACTAAAGTCTACACATTGAACCTTTAAAGGGAGTCGCCAAAGGGCTTTACTCGTTGTGGGAACTGTTGGGTTTCTCTACAATATTCTAAGGTCTAAACCTTAGAAGATTAGGTGCCTTAAGATAATGTATGTTGCGATTTGTCGCTATTCAAATAAAATTGAATAGAATTGAAGATTGTCTGTAAAGTAGAGCCTGTATCCATGATTAGTGTGGGTCCAGGAAAGAAAACCCCTTAACTAACTTTTACTTATTCACCTAACAAAGATCTATATAACAAACAGACACCCTACAAAGAAATCGTCATCAACCTACTGTGTGAGTAATAAGCAAAAACTGTCTTTTTATGTGGGCAGGTATTTTCCAGAACAGTGTGAATCATCTTTTTTGTTCTCTTCTCCTCCTTCTTTTCCACTTCCCGTTCTTGTGCTGCTCTCTGCATTTCTTTGGTATCCTTGTATGTTTGTGCAATTGCCCACAGTAATCGAGTTGAGGCCTGGACACGAGATGTTCATTTCCTCCTGCGCCAGGAGGGCCGGCCGGTTACACAACTTGTTGGGAACATGTCCACAGTGAGGATTATGAGAGAAGACTGGAAAAACACAGACAAGGCTGCGCAGTGGATCCACCAAACAGCTGCAACCTCTCACCAGCCTTTTGCTCTTTACCTTGGCCTCAATTTACCTCACCCTTACAAAACGGAATCCCTGGGGCCCACTGCAGGAGGATCCACCTTCCGTTCCTCTCCGTACTGGCTCACAAAGGCATGCTTTATTTACACCCCTTTATTAATGCTTCCTGTGTTGTTGCAGAATTACATAGTATCGATAAAAATCCCTGAGAAATCCTAGTTCCTTGTTTTACACACACAGGTGTCGTCTGATCTCATCACTGTTCCAAAATGGCTGCCTATGGCTGCCATGCACCCTGTTGATTTCTACTCCGTTTTCACCAAAAACTGCAGTGGCGTTTTCACCGAGGACGAAGTCAAAAGCATTCGGGCCTTCTATTATGCCATGTGCGCTGAAGCCGATGCCATGCTGGGTTAGTTGACTGCAGTAATTCTCCAAACCAAGAGTGATTTGTGGATTAGACTTTGTGGATATCTCATGAAACATACCAAACCTGCAAAGTTTGATTTCTTTTCTTGTTCAGGTTCTCAAATCCAAACATATACTGCAGGAAAAAGTAGGAGTCACACTTTTACAGGAGCCCAACATGGACTAAAACATGTATGAAAGAGAAGCAGTCTTATTGACAGTGTTTGCAGCACAGCCAGTGTGCCTCTGGCTATAACACAAGGCGAAGTATAGAAGGAAACAGCAGGCAGCTAGATTTGAGGTGTATCAGTGATACTAATAGATCATCTCTAAAGGGAACATTTCACTGAATTTCTTGTGTAACTGTCGATCCAGTGCAGCTGAAACTTTGACTTTAATTCCTGTCAGTAAAACTTCCTGAATAAATAAAGATATGGTAATTTTAGTAAGCTCTATTTCCTCTGTGCCACAATGATCTACCTACAGCAGTCTCCTCTTTTCTCTTAATTGCTCTACTATGCCCATATTCATGACCTCCGCCAAGGAGGTTATGTTTTCACCCCTTTCTTTCTTTGGGAGTGAGTCATGACACATTAAGGAAATGAGGTATTAGCTCTACTGAGCTCTATTCTATATATAATACCGTATATTCAGTCATTAATTTCTTACGGTATATTACATTTCTGACTAAAAGTTTTATTGTGTTAAAATGTCAACAGTAAAATATTTTACATTTTAGAAATGAATCCGCCATGAGATCCTGTTCACCAGCATTTTATCTCTTTGCTATGGTTTTAGTAATGTATTTTGACTGAACTAATCTGTAACTCTGTGCTTATTCTGTCTCCCACACCCTCTGTCTCACCAGGCCATGTGATATCAGCCCTGAGAGAAACTGGGCTGCTCAACAACACTGTTGTGATCTTTACGGCTGACCATGGAGAGCTGGCCATGGAGCACCGGCAGTTCTATAAGATGTCGATGTATGAGGGCAGTTCCCATGTTCCCCTGCTGATCATGGGGCCTGGCCTGATGTCTGGCCGACAGATCAACCAACTCGTGTCTTTGGTTGATCTCTATCCCACTCTGCTGGGTAAGAAAGTAGACAGAAAACGTAATTAAAACATCTATTAAAGATTATAAATCATTGGAGTGTCAATCCAGGA